AGGAACATCAACTACCTGACCACCTGCCTGACCTATAGCAACAGTTGCATCAACCCTTTCCTCTACACCTTGCTGACCAAGAACTACAAAGAATATCTGAGGAACAGGCAGCGCTCCTTTCACAGCAGCGGCAGCAGCCGCAGCTACTTCCATAGAAGGAACAGGTTTCAGAGGATTTCTGGCAGATCTTTGTCAACAAACATCTCCAGTGCTACAGAGAGACCATTTTACTCCCTCCCACCCATGGGGCAAGCTACAGTCCTTGAAAGAAGAAGCACACTAAGTCTAAGTGTTGACTGAGAAAATATTTTCTAAAGAGAATGTCTCAAGAGCAGAGAGAAGAATAAATATATATATAGTCCTTCTCAAGCTTTAATCTTAAATTTAAAGTTATTGAATCAATTTCTCTCAAGAGTATTTTTCAAGTTATAATTCCTGTTTTGGACTCTATTACCTATGCATTGTTGTTTGGTAGATACACAGTTTTGTTTCGTTTTTTTGTTCCAATTACATTCGTGAGAATTTGTTGTTTAGATGAAAACTACATTTGATAAAATTAGATTTTATTTTACAGGACATAATCAGGTTAATTCTAAGTTTCTAGCTTATTGCCCTGCTTTGATCTTACTTAGATGTCTCTATTCAACCCTGACACTCAGTGGATTCTTCACGATCAGCCAGAAGACAAAGAGATAGGAGTTCCATTCACACTCTTATATTCAATTTAGTGTCATTTTCAACCTATCCCATCTCTCTCTTGTCATATCAAATACGACATGACATTGCTAGGAGTGACATGAGTTAGAAAAATTCAGGATCAAAATAAGAAACATTTGCCGAAATAAGGTGTTATTTTTTTTCAGAATCCAAAAGGAGCACATTACCTCCTGAAATGCTTATTGGTGTTCCTGTTCAATTGTTCAGTCACTTCTGACTTTTTGCAATCCAAGGGATCTCTTTTCACCATGACTATCTGTCAGTAACTATTTCTCTGAGTTCTTGTAAACTTGCACTTGGGTCATCAGTGACAACAGCTAGCACCCTTGTCTTCTGTCACACTCTTTTCCAATTCTCTTTGATTTTTCCAAGCATCAGGACCTTCTTCATGACTTTTGCCTTTGCATTAGATGTCTAAAATATTTAACCTATAGCTTTATTTTTAGTGCTTCCAGTCAGCAGCCTGGTTTTACTTTACCTCATATTGGATGATTTGTTCTTCTTGGGAAAGGTTCAAAGTATTATCACCATTTTTCTCCAGCATCACAATTCAAAGGCATCATTTTTTCTTTACTCAGCCTTTCTGCTGGTCCAGTTTTCACAGACATAACGTAGAACTAGGAAAAACCTGGTTGTGGAAATACATGTACCTTTGTTGTCAGTGTGATATTTCTCTGTTTCAGAAATATTTTCCAGTTTTAGCTCAGTGATGTAGCAAACCTTTTATAACAACATCAAGGAACAAAGCAACCTTTTTCAATTATCAACATATGATATCTGGACATATACAGCAGTATGCAAAAAGTCTCAGCACCACTGGTCAAGCTACATGTTTCAATGACTTCCTAAATAAATAGACACTGACTCAACCACTATAGGATGTGAAGATATGCATGACATCTTTCTTCAAATGGAATACATGCTTACTATTTACAATACATGTGCTGCCTCATGGATTCAAAATAAGAAACAATTAATTTGGCTGGTCCAGAAGTTGAATTCCACATTTATTTATATGCTCTGTACTTTATCTATTCTAAATCTCATTCCAAACAGTTTCAACAGACAATCCCTGGCTCAGAGTTTTGGGAGAGGGGAAGAAAAGCTCACGGTCTACCTTCATGCTGTGCATGATTTTAGGCATCATGATCATGTTCCCTGTACTTACTTACTACAAACAACAGGCCAAGAGAACAATTTGGAAAAGGACGCTTTACTAGATATACAAAAGAAGCTGGCTGAAGTTTAAAAATTAAAAGGGGAATACAAATGATAAACCAAGAGAATGACCTGGAAAATGTTTTCTTATTGGATCTACAAGAGAGGCTTGTTAAAGCCTTGAAGAATTCTGTGCGATGGGAAAAAGAAGAATTGAAGAGAAATCAAATCCTATGATGAGATTTGATTGAATTAAAGATTAAGACTGATTATTATTGGAATGTAAATTGCATCCTATGCCCTAAAAAGGCTTTGGCTGTATGTGATTCAAAGCTGTTCCATAAAATACTCTCTGCTTAAGTTGTGAGATGTGTTATTTGAGGTGGACCAAAGTTTATAAGGGGCCAGAGTCCTATCTCTTTAATTTTTTTCCATAGATTTTGGTCATTTTTAACATGGACTTGTGCACTGAACAGGGCCTCATGCCTAAACAAATTGGTAAGGTGGCCAGGATTCATTGCCAGTTCCTAGCAGAAAAGATTATCCTGAATATTTCTGCTGAGAACTGCAGGCCACTTTATCTGCAAGATACAATGGTAGAGAAGGCTGGTTTAATCTCTTTCATTCTACCTCCTATGAAACTACAAACCTCCTATTCACAGAATATATGGGGAAGATTATTTCTGTTAAAGATAATTGAACAAATAGAGAGCCAAGAGAAGCTCGTAATCCACTTATACACTGTGAGATTATTTGCCAAGTGTCTACCCAGAAAGTGGGAGCAGACCGCATAACTTGAACACCATTTAGGGTGGTGTTATCATACACTCAGTACAACATACTATTCAAAAGAAGACAAAGATAAAAGAATACCAATTCCTTTCCCCTCCTTTATGGTATAACTTTGTAACTGTGTCATTGAAGAATTATTCCAGAAATAACAGTGAACCAAGCCACCATGATCTGCAGGAAGTGTATGACCCAACTATATATTTTAATTTATGCAGTGTTATCTTTCTTCATTGACAAACAAATCAATGAGTTCAATAAATTATGCATATTTTTTCAAACATCTTACTAAGTTTATTTCCAGGTCAGTACAGATTTACATTTTAAGTTATTGGGTTTTTTCCTCCTAAATAAAATGCTTTGTTTTTATTCTAAAGACTTAAATTAAGAATATATATGGACCCAGTGATTATAACCTAGCAAGTTTAAATCCAAAATGTCATGTTCTACTTCATAAAAGTTGTGCAGGCAATTATACAACATGAGAACATCTAATGCAACTACTATTCATTAACATAAACACAAGGGATCATGTAGATTTAAGCCTGGGCAGTATGTGCAACTCCTTCATTTTCTCACTCTTTTCTCCTTCTTCATCTCACTCTTGCTTCCTAATGACTGCATGAATGCAACCATGTGGCTTTCGTGGCAATAATATGGGAAATGGTTTGCCATTGACTGCTTCAGAGATGCTTTAAAATTTTCCATATTATCTAGCTCTGGGATTTTCTGGTAGTCTCCTACCTAAATAGGAATCAGGCCTGATCCTGCTTAGCTTGTCCAGATCCATCTAGGCCAGCTAGGAGCCGTTACTTAGCTAACCCCATGGGACATGCAATACCCTTGCAGAAGATGCCAGCTGTTTGTTGCATTGCTTTGCCCAGTTTGCTGAGGTTTCAGGGGCACAAGATACTTGGCTGCCAAAGGCAGAGCCACACATGGCTTTGGCCACCAAGCCATCCTGATGGCACACCTCAAATTAGTGCTTCTCCCCTTCCACACTAAAATCTAATAAGTCATCATTAGTGGTAACCGTCTGCCTGTTTGTGATCCCAGTATCCTCTCCAGAGGCAGCCACTTTTCTTAATAAGAAAAGAAAAAGACAGAATGACAAGATCCAAAATAGTAAATATAGTTTTTAACTATATGGTTTTCAAATAAAGCACTAAACCTTGACCAACTAGAAAAAAAATATTGATCTGTATTTCCATTATGTCAATATTCATAATCAAAGAGTGGACATGTGTCATCAATTCATGTGTTCAAAGAGTGAATTCATGTCATCAACTATAAATCCAGGATATCATTTTTCTGCCATTTCTCTGCCCGTGCTTGATAAATCTATAGTTCATATTCTAAATATTTTTCTGAATTAGTTCCATCAAGAGTATAAAAATCCATTTAATATTTTTAGACCATTGGCCATTAATTAGTTCATATTGGATATTCCAATTCTTTATTGCAACATTCTTACAAGTGATTGATATCCACTTTAATAATGCTGTTTAACCATCTTGTAATTAAAGGTGGGGGGATTTCATTCCAGGGGTTCAGATGCTGAAACTGTTAATGAAAATCTTACCTGGCATTCCAGGCAGTGGACAGAGATGATCAAATCTGGGAAAAATCAAAGGCCAAGGAGCCACTCAGGATCAGTTTTTGCCTCACAAGTGTGCTTTTAAAAAGAAGAAGGGTTTGGTTTCATTTTGCTTTTTGTCCATCTTTCACTGGGGGAGGCAGAACATCTCTCCTCTATGGCTGGCTGAAAGCCACGTAAGAAGAGAAACCATAACTCCCAGAGATCTGGATTGGAGATCGGGGATTTCTACAGTGCGCTAGATGTAGATATGAATTTTATCTTGTGGACTTTGATTTGAGCTGTGGAATTTCACTTTCTCTGTGTGTGATATTCTGACCAAGGGAACGGTGGCTGAAACCATTTCTTTTCTCTTTTCCTTCCTTTCTTTTTCTTTTCTGTCTTTCTTCATTTTATCTTTCAGTTTCCTTCAATTTCTTTCATCTTGGTATACGTAACAAAGACTTGAATTCTTAATAGTCTCACTCATTCTGGGAAAGCAGCATACATTCTCCATCAACTCCTGTAGATCAACTACTGAGCAGAGGAATACAATCGTTTATCTCTTCCCAGGTCAGCCAGGGTTGAAAAGGATTTTTTTGGCAAAGAGTGGATGGGGGCAGCATCACCATAGTGACTCTTTCTAGGAGTAGTAGGGAGGATGCAGTAGGGTGCAGGTGGTTGAGAGACCTCCCTCAATGGGAGCTACAGGGGACCAATCCATCACATACTGTGACCCCGTTACACCTATCAAAATATATTGTGGAGTAATCTAAAATTACTCTATATAGAACACAGAGTAAAGATCAAATTTTTATTTCCATCCCAACATTGCCTTAAAATCTTTAATGTTGGACATAGTGTAGAATTATGACTAAAAGGGGAACCAAACTGTTTTCATGATTTCAGAGGGGGTCACATAATCATTGTCTGTGCTCATAATGGTTTTTGGATTTGATTCTATTCCATTGAGAAATAGAAGTCAAAATGTAAGTCCTGTTATAAAGTTGAATATCCAGAAAGTTACCTGCCTCCAATCATTATATGTGAATTGTCAGTT